TTTATTGTGTTTTATTGGGTGGGAGACAGACACTCAGGAAAGCATTCGTGTAAAGTGAAAAGAAAACAGTACATGATTTTATTTTGTATTTTGTCTTGCAACAAATAGGTTCTATCTGTGTGTAGTTAAATGCTCTATAGTTTCATTTAGTTTCAGTGAACAAGGCTTTTTAATTCCGTTAAAGTTTAAAAAACAATCCACTGGACTTGGTTTCCAAGGTTTGAAGATGTTTTGCTTCCCCTCCAGGAGGCTTTCTCAAATCAAATGTCTGGATCCGCAGTGAACAGCTGTTTTTTAAACTTTTACGGAATCACTATGACCTGGATGACTGAGAATCTTCATCAGCACAAGGCTTTTTAATGTTTAAGGAACAAGGCAGAAAGCTAAAGCTGGTTTTAGTTATGAAACAAGTTGCATTGAACATTGCAAGGCTTCCAAACATGAAAATGATATCACACAACTGCAGTAAACACATCTGTCAAAGCTGGCACACCAACCGAAGAGACTAAAATGAGAGACGCCTATGTCTCCGGAGGAACTGAAGACAGGAGAGAGAAGGGAGAGATTCTGCTTATGACCTAAAGTGGCAAGATGAGATTCCATTTTAGGAAATGACCTTTTAAAATTTGCAACAAGTCACGATGGGGGAATATGGAGGATGCTGAAAGGACTCCAAACTGAACTGTTTCCTTTACATCCAAAACCCCTCAAATGGCAGAAAAAAACACTGCACATCTATCGGAGTACAACTTATCCACAGGTAAATCTATATGGGGCAGTTTATATCCTAATTGGATGACCATGAATATCAAGCAATTGCTACAATAGGACAGATTAGAAAGTACCTTCTTACGTTAGAATGTCCTAGTCAAAATTTAGACATAAATCCACTACAAAATCTATGGTATGATTTAAAAACTGATCTTCACAGCCAGTCTATCCAGTCTAACAGACACTCAGCTATTTTACAAAGAGGAATGTGCAAAGATTTTATTCTCCACATATGCAAAGCTGGTAGAGAGACAGGCTGAAAGACATCTGCTATAAGATATGTTTCTTACAAATGCACTATACAGATATTGTACTTAAAATTGTGTATGTCTGTTTTATCCACACCTTACAGTTCAGCAAAAATTTGTTTAAACATTCCCAATCAAATTCAGGTTTGGGAAATAATGAGGATGGGTTTAAAAACGTATGCTTCCTTCGTAATAAAAGGATGCTATATAATCGAAATGTGTGCAAAAAAAAAAAAATACAGAGATGCTTTATTAACTCTTTATATAAATTCACTTCAACATATATTTGTACGATATAACGATAAAAGCTCTGGTTAATAAAAAAAATAATAAAAATACTCCATTCTAAATCAAACTTACTTTCAATCTCCTTTATTTTCATCTCCCATGGAATGCAAGCTGTTTTAAAGTTCTCAAAGTCTCGTTGAAATTTCATCCACTTCTGATGATGCAATATATGAGAAACAAAGGACAATACTAAGTAAAGATTTATGTGTGATGAGGCAGAATGAGTGTGGTTTGTGTCTACTTGCCTTCGTCATCATGACCTTGTACGCGTAGAGCTTCCTGCCTTTTCCTTTCCCCAAAGCTCCTTCATATTTCTCCACAAACTGCTGCGAATCTCTAAAGCCAGTAAAAAATTGCCATTACAATACTAACAAGGGCCTTTGTTTAATTATTCTGGTGAATCTTTGGAATTTGTGATTTAAAGTTTACCGTAAAGTGATAAGTTTCTTTTTCATTGACCAAGGCTTCCCCCTCAGACTTTGAATCAGCTTCTTCTTCTCGTCTACTGCCTCCTTCAGCTTCTCCAGCTCTTCTGGTGACAGTAACTCAGGCCTCAACTCTCCATCATTAATGGCTTCTTCTTCCTCCTCCTCATCTTCCTCACTTGTCTCGGGTTCTGAGCTGATTAATTGCCAGAGGGATCTTTTAATACAAGATATTTTACTTGAGAAACTACAGAAACCACTATTTAGATGAAGTATTACCTTATTTCAACTATTTCCTTGTGCTTTTTCTTCTTTTTACATGCTTTGTCTATTTCTTTATGTTTATCCCCGTTTCGTTTTTCCCCCTCATTTTTGGCACATTCAAGTTTCTTTTTGCCCTTTTCACTTCTTCCCTGAGCTTCTCCGTTCATCTCAACCTCCAGCTTTTTCTCCTCATTTTTAATATTCTTCTTGGATTTTGCAGTCTTGGCTCTGGTTTGCTCCCATTTCCCTTCATTCCCTTCATCTTGTTTCACTTCATGTTCCGCTTTCCCTCGCCGTCTTCTACCCGTCTCTCCCCCATCAGTCCTGGATTGTGATTCCTCTCTTATTCGTTGTGTAGATTTAGATGATCGTTTTCTCCTCCCCTTTTCCCTCTTCGTTGTTTCACCATCATTTCTTCTACTACTTTTTTTTCTTTTCTTCTCATGATTCTTTTGAAATTCTTCTACATCTTGGAGAAAAATGTGGTAGTTTAAAAAGCCATACTTTCAACCCAGGTACACCAATACAACATTTTCATATAATAATATAAATATACTCTTTGCATATAAAATCATGTTCAATGTCCAAATGATGTAAATGATGTAAATTTTGTAGATAAGGATAGCAGTCAGCACTTTTTACTTATAACCATGAGATCTTAGGTAGTAACTCACCTGCAAAATCCAGTTCAATGTCAGCTGTGGAAGAAAAATAATAATAAACTGATGATCTGCCTGTGCATCCCAGTACAGTAAAAACAAAACTTGGTTGGATATTTACACAATAACGCACAGATAGATACCTACCAGGTAGAAGTCTAGGGCCAAAAAAAGAGCAATTAACACCTCTGCAGACCCCACACAGCCTGGTCAGAACCTGTTCATTTTTTTACCTGATAAACTTAATTAATCTATTTATTAAGTTCTTATACTTAATTTCATACCTTTTACCCCTTTGAACTTTGTTGTTTCACAATGTGGCTTTTTGTGCTCTTAATAGCAGCAATGAAAAACCGAAGTCAGGCTTTTGTTTGTGGAAAAGCACTTGACCATTAAGGTACCGGTATTGATAATTGTTTTGTTTTTTTTGCCCCCATTGCAAAAGACTAATTGTGTTTTTTTAATGGCAGGATTTTTATGTTTTGTTTTGTGTCACATAACAGACCACCTTCATAGAGAAAACTGTTGATGTGAAATGTCAAAATGAAAATGTGGGGAGGTTTTTTTTTATATATATATATATTTTTTTTTTACATTTACACTTTTAGGGAAAAAAT